CAATGTCCATATCTTCATCACCTATATAAAACAATAATCAACATTAATCATTATGCAAATAGTTATATATTCATCTAAGAATACTAATAGAATCTTAATTATATATATATACCTTCATTATCCCTCTCAAAAGTTGTTGAATTTGCAGTGCCTTCATTGTTAAGAACACTTTCAATTGTAGCCACATCTCTATCATCAAACTCAGGGGTGGGATCTTCTTCAGTCACCCAAAAGTCCACCATGTCAATATTTTCAAAGTCAATTGGATCATAATTTTTCTTCTTCTTCAATGTATTCCTTCAATGACAAATAAAAATTCAATTAAATATAAATCAATTAAAATAGAAGATTAAAAGCATTTAGTATTTCTAAGAGTACCTATGCTTCAATCGCAGATTATAGTTTGTGAAAACCAAATCATTCAGCCTGCTATGTTCCAATCTGTTTCTTCTTTTTGTATGAATTCTCTCAAATAAGCTCCAATTCCTCTCACAACCAGAAGAAGCAGAAGTTTGACTAAGAATACGCATTGCAACGCGCTGTAATTCTGGAACTGAACAACCATAATATGTCCACCACTCATCTGCATAATAAAATACATTTAGCATACAATATTATAAAGAACTAGTGAATAACTATGAAAATACTATAAAGTATTAACACTTACAAGGGTCTAATTTTTGTGCAGCTTTTTGACATGAGGGTCTACTGAAAGATTCTTTGCCTTCACGATAAGTGGTTGCTTGTTTCATCACCATAAAGCCATCAACATCTTCATCTGAATAAGACTCCACCACATCAATCAAAGCCATCATTAATTTTGACTAGATCTGATGCATCAACAGATTTCACAAACACCATACCGTGTGTAGAATACACTAAGAAATTTATCAAAGTGCGTTGTCTAACATCGGTCCATCCATCAGCCATGAGTGTGCAGCCATTGTTTTTCCATTTAGCTCGATGACAATCAATCAGCAACTGACATTCTTTTTTCCAATCACCCAATAAATTGGTTTTGAAATCATAAGCACTAGGGGCTTTAAACTCAGGCCCAATTGAAGCAATTCCATCCACAGCTTTTTGAAATAAAGGGCAATCAAATGCTTTAAACGGAATACAGTTCACAATAGCCCATTCAGCAATCAACATTTTCACATTATGTTTTGCTTCTTTAGTTGCTAATGCACTTTTAATACCCGGTTGGGAATCAAGGGTTGTCCTAGGAGCAAAATAATTGTCCATACTCCCACTAGCTTTCCTCTTCTTCGAAGTACTCATGATAATTTGTGGATCAACATGGGTTTCTTCAACATCCTCTTCTAAGTTTTCAACAGTTTTTTTTTTTGAAGATTCTTTCAAAGATTCTGACATTCTATGCCGTACATCATGTGGAACTTTCTTACAAGAAGCTATTTGACCAGTGATACCAGCAAGATGTTGCTTCATCCTATTTATCCCACCTCCTCTATAACTATTAGCACAGAAAAGACAAGTATATATATTCTGTGTCCCCTTTTTTTTGTATGCAATATGTGCCCATGCAGGATCAGTTTTGGTACGTAATGAAGAAGTGGGTGTAGGAGTGGAAGTTTCAGTATTAGGAGTGGAAGATCCCGTATTAGGAGTCACATTGTCACTTCTTGAACTTGGATTACTTGAAATATCCATCACTGTTACTAAATAACAAATCAAAAAAATCAAACATCTGGCTCTGGGGGTTCATTGCTATGGGATTAGCTCGGATAATATAACATCACTGATTAAAAATCAAAGATCAAATTGATAAATTCAGATTTCAAATGAAATAATATTTAGATGTGCACTTTAAGTACTTGGATTAACGAATCCTCATGCCAAAATTCAGATGTGCTGACCAAATATCATGCCAATATTCAGATGTGCTGACCAGATATCATCGTTCAAATTCAAATAATCAAGCATCACGCCAATATTTCATACAAGCATCACGCCAATATTCAGATGTGCTACCAGATATCATCATGCCAAAATTCAGTATGATCAAATTTGCACTTAAAGAAGCTATTTCCGTAAATCAAATATCATTGAATCATCAATCAGTAATTCAGTATGCTGTATGACCGACCAAAGAACGCACATCATCATTCAAACGAATCATACACGATATTGTTCTACATTAGAAAAAGGAAACAAATCTCATTTTATCTAAGCCTAGCTACTTCAGAATTCAGACGGAAAAACCGAAGAAGCACAAAACTACTTGACCGAAGAACAGAGCATGCTGATGAGTGATGATTTAATATCTAAAAAAAAAACCGAAGAACGCACCTGCAGCTCCGACGATGATTCTGCCACCGGGAAGAAGCAACGACGATGGGACTATGGGAGGCGACCACCTGCGGCTGCGATGCAGATTTGAGCTTGAACGGTTGAACCACGATCACCGGCTGCTTCAACGTTCAACCTCGACGACGCGACGCGACGATCAGAGACGACGGCGACGATCCGAGACGACGGCAGATTTGAGCTTGATTCAGCTAGGGATTTCGATTTGGGGGAGGGAGGCGACGGCGAGAGAAACTGAAGTAGGGGCGAGGGAGATCGGTTCAGTGATTCACTCGTTCGATTTGGACCGGACCCGTCTTCAATTTTTTTTTTTTTTGTAAATTTCCAATCCAAACGACGTCGTTTCCATGGATTGGGGATTAAAAAAAATATATATATTCAAAACCGGACAACCCATCAAACCGGCGGGTTGCCCGGTTTGATCCGGTTATTACCGGTTTGATCCGGTTAGAACCGGTTCAACTACAGGCCGTTTTTTTGGCCTGCCGGACCGGACCAGCCACTGGTTCACCGGTTTTCCGGTCGAACCGGCCGGTCCGGTCCGGTTTTTTTTTACCTTGGATATGAGGAAAGATAATGAAAGACTAGAGAGAACAAAATAGTAATTATAAAAACATATTTAATATTTAAAAGATTTAATAAATAAATAGGATCAAATTAATTCAAATTTTAAACTGATAATCAGAAAATAAGAAATAAAATAGCTGAAAAATATGATTTTAAATTAGGTACTTAAAATTTTGAAAATAATAAAAAAATAATGTCTGATATAATATTTTGCATATGTAGTTAAATAACTAAAATATTATTATATTAAAAAGCTTATTAATAAGTCCTCAATTAATAATGATAAGTGTTGAATAGTAAAAAATATAAAAAAGGGAAAATCCCAGATAAAGCCCTCCGAATATATATAATTTTAGATTGGGTCTTGGAATTATGTAAATGACAGAAAGGGTCAATGACCCAATCTGTCATTTTTAAAATTAAGAGCAATTGACCATTTTATCCTGATTAAGCAAAAGTGAGTGTTATTTTCTAAACAAATCTTGGTAACGTTTATACTGTTCTAGTGATTATATGATTAGTTGTAGTTAATAACAAAGCATATTCTCATGGGACATTCCTGATTACGAAAAAATGAATAGTTATTCTATATACAAATCCAGGTAACGTCTAAACTCTTATAGTGATTCCTTAAATTATTGTAGTGAATGAATACAAATGAAAGTAAAAGTGAGTAATTATTCTCTAAACAAATCTAGGTAATGCTTATATTGTTCTAGTGATTACATGATTAGTTATAGTTAATAACAAGGCATCTTCTTATGGGGCATTCCTGACTACGAAAAAATAAATAGTTATTTTCTACATGAATCTAGGTAATATCTAAACCTTTATAGTAATTCCTTAAACTATTATAGTGAATGAATACAAGTGAAGACAAAATTGTTAATTGGTCTTAATTTTAGAAATGACAGATTGGGTCATTGACCCTTTCTGTCATTTAGACAATTCTAGAACCCAATTTGAAATTATATATATTCAAATGGCTTTATCTAGAATTTTCCCAATAAAAAATGTATTGACAAATTATTTATTAAGAAATAGTGAATTGATAATAATAAATATTAAACAATAAATACAAATATTTTAATTCCTGTCGGGAGCAAATTTTGAATGGCATTAAAAACATGATATTTGATAGATTTCTTCCTGTTGGGGCCATATCGCAATTCAATCCCCCAGTCAGAGCAAAAGAGCAAAAGAGGTCTCTGATCTCGTTAATTTCTGATCTGAGTGGTTGATCACGGCAACCATCCTTGAAAATGAGGTTGAAAGCTTCCATTGAGTCAGTGTAGACAGATTCATCGGTATCCAGTCGAAAGTATTCCTCTGGTGGCGGTTTCCATTGACTATCATCGAAAGCATCAGGCTTGAAAATCAGGTGTCTGAGTTGTCCGTAGATAGTGGATTCCATAAGCTAACCCATTGTGAATGATTTCTTTCTCTTGACTTCTGGCATTTTCCATGATTCCCCTGCATCATTCAGCATCTTCTTCTGGATTTTAGTTGTATTCTTTGGCTGCAAAACTCAAAACAGTTTCCTCATCGCCTCATCATTTCCCCGTCGCTGCTCGTTTAAGTGTTCGTCACCGTCGCCCCCGGTGGTCCTCTTCGCTGTTGCCCGCCGTCGCCCAGTTCCGCGTCATCATCTGGAGAAGAGAGGTAAGGTTTCTTTCTTCGATTTCCACTCGTTGCTTTTTCATTAAAACTCTTTAAATGCGTACCTTCCCTTCACGAATTAGGTTCAGTTCAAAAGATTTGCATTTTCAGTCTCATTTTCTGCAAAATGGTTTGGAACAGTTTATATTTAGCTTGATAAGAGGGTTTTGGAGAAATATTTAGAAAGTCATCACCGTGACGACCTTCCAGGTTTCTCTGCTAGGGTAAGGTTTTCAGTTTGGTATAAAGGGTCGTGTTTCATTTGTTTCACATTTTCAGTTATTTTAATTTGCGGTCCTGCGTGTTTCGACTTTTCCATGTTTGTTAATCTAGTACCAATTTCATAATATTTGGTCACAGGTTGTGAAATAGTCTTCCAGGTGAAGACTTAAATGACACCTGTATACCCAACTAAAACCAGACATCTCTTTTGCAGCAAAGTAGGAATGGAGCGCATTGCATCAGAAAAAAGAAAAGAAAGGAGGCGTAGGATCAGTGATTTGCCAGAGCCATTACTTCTTCATATTCTTTCTTTTCTTCCCCTTAAAGAAGCCGTTGCCACTAGCCTCTTGTCCAAGAGGTGGAGAACACTTTGGCGCTCTCTTCCCAAGCTCGAATTTGATGATAGAAGTTTTGACAGTCTTAAATTCTTCATTCAGTTTGTAGATGCAGCCCTCCACTTGGCTCATTTGAATTCTGTTCAAATGTTTATTCTCGATTGTAGGCATTCCCGTCTGCCCCCTGATAAGGCTAACATTTGGATCAATGCACTCGTCAGTCATAAATTAACGCATCTAGAGCTAAATTCATTACTGCTTGTTACGTTGCCCTCTAGCATTTTCATCTGCAATACCTTGCGAGTTTTGAAGTTAACTATGGTGAAAGTGAGTGATCTTTCTGGGGTTAATTTGCCTTCACTTGAAGTCTTGCGTTTGAGGGTGGCTGTCGTTTCAAATTTTGAACTTGTGAGAAGGCTTCTTTCTAATTGTGTTCGTCTTCAAGAATTGGAGCTAATTTGTATAGTACGTCTTGTTGGGCATAGGAGGCACAGCATTGTAAGTCATGAGCATTTATGGCACAACATTGCAAGGTTTGAACATTTGTTGTCCGCAGATGTTCCTGTTCCAGCAAATATACGCCTAATGGAAGCCATTTCTAATGTTCAATATCTCAGCTTACGTGCGGTATGAATATGATGAACAAGTTCATACTGTTTCTTTCTTTTGCTTCTGGGAGTTCATATGATAATATGTTTGTTTTTAACTTGTGTTGCTCATTCCTGGTGCAGGAGGATGTAGCGTACCGTTTTGATGATATTCCAACATTTCCCAACGTAATCCATCTACAAATGAACAAATCTACTAATATCGACTGGACCACAGTGTGCATGCTCCGAGCCTTTCCCAAGCTTCAGAGTCTTGTAATTTTTCAGGTTTGGAATTAAACACTGGTTTGATGGCTTGATTTATGTGCCGAATGCATTCTCTCTGTTCAGTTTCTATAACCATGTGTGTGTGTGCGCGCGCATTTTTGTTGTCAGGATGATTGTGACTCGGACCTGATGGAGTTTTCAACACCTGATGTTCCTTCGTGTGTTTCGTCTCAGCTGAAGGAGTTTGCCCTTTTTGAATTCAGAGGCTCCAAGCTTGAACTTGAAATTGTGAAATATATAATGGAGCATGCGACTGTTTTGCGGACTGTCATTGTTGGGAGCCGTAGCACATATGAAAGTGAAAGTGAAAGTGAAAGTGAGAGTGAAACTAAAGAGAAAGACTTTGAGATGCTCAAAGAGTTGTCGTCATACCCCAGATGCTCTGCAAATTGTAGACTCATTTATGATGTTTTTAGGGAACGTGCTGAGGAGGTGACGAGAAAATTTATGACAATTACCAAGTTTGTAGGTTGATCCTGGTGGTCGTGACTCGGTCATATTCTTCTGAGAGTTTCCGGTGATTTAGTCTCTACTGGGTACCTTCTGTGACAGACACTACAAATTTCTTGTCTCTGGTTCCTTTGATCAAACTTATACGTACGTGAATCCCTTCAACTCCATTTTGTTCCTAAAATGGTAATCAAAGAGGTAATACTTTCAGAAATATTTCAAGTAAAAAGGAATTAATTATCCTTCAAAATCGTAAATTACCCTATATGTTGATACGTTGCACTCTCCAACACTTCTCTTATATCTAAAATAGAGTCAGTAAATTATTGATAGTTAATTCCACGGCATGAAGATGTAAAATGTTAACATAGATGTAAATGTTAACGGTTAGATTTTGAATCCGCTTTTAATGGGTTAAACTATTTAATATGATTATCTATCTAATTATATATAATATCCATTGAATAATGGATTGAATTTAGCGAGAGTTTCAATTAAATTTAATTAAAATATCAAAATTCAAATTTTAAAGTTAATATTTTTAACAAATTTTTAATCTAGCCAAGAGGTGTTACTAGAATTTTTCAAATGTTGTTATTGGACTAAAATTTCCTTTTATAATTAAAATAATAATTTTCAAAAAACTAAAAATTAAACTATGAAAACTTAACATTATAATATTTGTTTATAAAAAATAATTTATGTCAGAAAATTTGGAAACACCCATGCCGAAAACTTGACAATCTATTATATATAACATTTTTCACTAACTCTGACAAGAAATTTATAGGAACAAACACTTTTTATTTAACTTGAAAACTGTAGGAAAATGGGTCAGTCCACAATTGGTGGATTGGACCTAAGTCCATTGTCATTTGGGACTCTGGCGTGAATAGGAAAACTTATGGGTCTCTAATTGTAATATTGGCCTTTTTATGTAATTTGCAAAAGGGAGGGAACGGTTGGACGGAGGAGGCAGTTTTTTTTTTCAAACGGGTAGTTACATAACTGATCCAATAGTGATCAGTTAGTGCGTGTGTGTCTCTTGTGTTTTTGGGTTCCTCCAGACTCCTCCCTCCACTCTCAGAACTTTGTCTCCTGGTGCATTTGCTGCGAAAATCCAGATCCGACTCCGTCACTGTGATCGGAGCTCCGCGTGGCAATCTGATTTCATTGTAGATTCCAGGTATACCCGAAATCCTTCAGTGGTATCAGAGCATAGGTTTACATTTTTTTATTGGTGTTATTTTGTGGCCTGCATTTCATATCAGTGCTCTCTTTTCTGATTGTTCGATTCTGAGTATCTAGAGATTTGCTTCAATAAATATATGCAAATCCTTCCATTTATACTCCTGTATGATAGTTTTCTGACTTATATTTATAAGTAGATATGATAGATTGTCTCTGCCTCTATAGAACACGTTCTATATCATTCTTTTATAGCCGTATGCTTGTTCATCTTTGGGTTTGCTTAAAATCAAGTTTTTAGGCTTTAAAATTTATCCCATTCGTAGAGCTCAAAAAAAAGAAGAAAATGATATAAAGTACACGAAAAAACGGACATCAGACGGCGAAGATACGAAGAAGAGAAGGTCCGTCGGTTGTAGAAGCCGGGTCAAGACGACCTGACTGAAGGTTGAAGGAGACCTCCGGGGCCAAAACGACACTGAAAGAGACCTCCCGGGGCCAAAACGGTGTCATTTTGGCCCCTCCTTTTAAAAAAAAAAAACTAAACTGGGCTGGACGCAGGATGCAGCCTAGCTGCAAAAAAAAAAAAAAAAAGGAAGGGGGAGGGCTTTCTGTTTGGGCCAATACAGTGACCAAGCCCAAACAGTAATTAAAAAAAGGAGTCCATCCAGTAAAAAAACACGATTTTAAAAAAAAAAAATTAATAATAATATTTTTTTAGTACCAGAAGTGCCACGTGGCGCGTCCCGCCAAGTGGCACAACCCTCTGACACGTGGACACCACTGCCTGAGAGGCGGGCGGTGGCACGTGCAAACCTGTCAGCATGGCGCGTGACGTCAGCAGCAGCTAGTGGATGACTTACACGTGCCGCTAGCACGAGTGGTGGTTGAATTTTTTTTTCATTTTTCTCAAATTTTCCTTCTAGGGGAGCATGTAGGCGCATGGGAGGTCCGTTTGAGGTGTGGTTTGATTATATTAAGTTTTTGTTTTGTTTCATGCATTGTAAACAGACTAAGTATGTTATTTTTTCATTTAATGAAATTACTTAAATTATTGTTGTATGATTATTTGTGAATATTATGTGTATGCTTTTTATAAGTGGGACTTTTTAGAAGATAAGACTTCTAAGAGCCACAATCTTTGAAGTACTTATATAAAATCCTTGATAGGACATAATGATTGTTGCCTGTATCTGTGTGATGGGAGGTATAAACGTATACTCTTGATCATGGATCTTGCAGTGTCATTACTTTCTGATCAAGGATGATATAAGTATAGCACATTGTATACTTCATTGTGCTATATAATTGAAATGTTCTATGATACGTCTTTCTTTTAGAGAGAACATAGAATAATGTGGGATAAATTTGTCACAGAACTAAAAATGGCAACCAAGAATATAATTGCTGAGCTTAATAAAGGAGAAGAGCTCAATGGGGATAACTGGGACATAGCACCGAAAGGTTCAATACATCTTAGAGGAACAAGATGCGGTTGAATCTTTAACCACTGCAATGGTCGAACCTGAAGCTGGGAATACGGCCTAATATAGGAGAGACCAAGAGGCTTACCTAGTTTGGAAGAAGAAAAACAACATAGCAAGAATTACGCTTCTGAGTGCCATGGCTAATGACATTATGTGCGAGTTTGAAAGGCACAAAACTGCACAGGCTATGTGGATAGCGTTGAAAGACAAGTTTGGTGGTACTTCTACCCCTAAACTTAGAAGGTTGATGATTAAGTTCGACACCTACAATGTGACAACCGTTCTTTCTAAACCATTTTAGATTAAATCTAATAATTTATTTGAATGATTAACCATGATAGAAAAGAAGAAACCTTAAAATTTTTAAATTTGGCTATCATGATTAAAAGAAATAAATTTATATTATGAGTAACCTCGATCGTTAAGTTGGGCCTTGGACTTCCAAATCCAGAAATATCATTCAACCATTAGCCCAAACCAAACTTATACTTTCAAATATACGAATTGATAAATCATTTTAATATAAGTCATGGAACCCATTGGTTAAAAGTCAACACTATCAAAAGTGCGTAATATGCAAAGTCTTAAATATCTCTGGCCTTCCAATGACCTTCCATATCAAATAGTAGTAATTAAAAGTATTAGTTTACAACATTAGAGTATGTAGCCCTATGTGGCAATATATAACAAATCAACACATATAACAGAAGTCGGGAGGCTATATAAGCTGTACTAGCACACTATGCCTCCGGAGCTTTCCCTGATGGATCACCACCTGAACTAACACCTGAAGATAGTAAAAACCACGGGGTGAGACAAACGCCTCAATAACCAACTGTCCAACTCATCATACATACTAACACGTGCTCGTGAGGTGTCAAGTGCGACAGTTATTAATTCTCGAGAACTATAGATATATCCATAGAAATATAATTTCAATCATCCAAACCCTCACTATAGGGGTCAACACACAAGCCACATAAGTCTATCCCTCACTCTGGGGGATCAATCAAACATATGAGCCTATCCCTCACTTTGGAGGACGAATAAGAAGCCACAAAGGCCTATCCCTCACTATGGGGGACGAAAGAAGAAGCCAACCAATGTGCACCAATGGCGGCCTTACCACGTGGTAGGGTAGAACTCAATCACAAAATCCAAATAACAACCAATCATTCACAATATAATAAAAAATGTCTCAATCTTTTCTCAGTATAATCCATAGGATATAATCATATATCTTTCCAAACTTCTCAATCACAATTCCAAAAATCCCACAAGACAATTTTTATAGCTCAAAAGATATAATATATCTACTCGAATTCTAAATATCAAATATTATTCAAAATAGGAAAATACTCACAAACAACGTATTAACACATATAACAAGTAGAAAGTGGTTACCTCTCGCTAAAGCAATACTAAGGATTACCACAAGGTCAATCTTTTGTTCAACCAATAATTAATCTACACAATTAATATAACCACATATTAATATAAACTAATTAATTAATTAAACTTCTCTATATTAGTTAAATTTCTAATTTAATTAAATTTTTATTCTAAATTCCCGCAACTCTCAAGACCCAAAAATTATTAAGTATTTTAGAAATAACTTAAAATTTCTAACAACCCAAATTATTTATTTACCACCTCCAAATTATTTACCTCAATAAAAAGGATTTTCAACAATTTCCAAATATAAAATTATTATGTTCTAAATTCTAAAAATCTTCATTTAAGTTTAAACCTCAAAATCAAACTATCAAAAATTTAATAATACTTCAAATATTTGTAACTAAATAATATAATCAAAACTTTAATGGTATAACTACCATATATATATATATTTCCATAAATAATAAACTTTTTAGCTACAATAATTATTTGGGGAAATTGCAAAAAAACCTTGGAATTGCAAAAACGCAGATAGGGACCCTTGACAACTTCACTTTGGGTTTTGACAACTTCAGGGCATATTATTCTTGTCAAAACCCAAAGTGAAGTTGTCAAGGGTCCCTATCTGCGTTTTTGCAATTCCAAGGTCTTTTTTTGCAATTTTTCCTAATTATTTTAAAAACCTCCAGTCACCCAATAAATAAAACTAAACTGAGTAAAATCTTAATAATATGTTAAACACCTCAAATAAATTATTCAACTAAATTTTTAATCAGTAAAATATGATATAAATCATATATCACATATTTTTCAACTAGAAAAATCAATTTAAGCGTTAAAAACCAACCAATAGACAAATCTAACCGATTAAAATAACAACTCATTTACCTCTAAATTTCTATGATCATCTTTTACTAAAACTCCATATTTATATCATATATAAGTCTCAAAATTTTCTCTAAGCACTTTAATAATACTGTCATTAGGAAACCTAAAATATATGAAAATATAAAAAAATACCTTGGAATTGCAAAAAGGCAAAACGCAGATAGGGACCCTTGACAACTCACTTTGGGTTTTGACAACCAGGGCATATATTCTTGTCAAAACTCAAAGTGAAGTTGTCAAGGGTCCTATCTGCGTTTTTGCAATTCCAGGTCTTTTTTTGCAATTTTCCCTAGAAAATATTCATGAAGAAAGTTTGATAAAAAGAACTATATTGTGTACCTAGATGATCTCCAAGCTTGTATTACCCTTCACATGCTAAACCTTCTCTGCTCCTCTCTCATTCTCTCTTTCTCGTTCTCTCTCTTTCTCTCCCGCATGCGGCTCATCTTCTGTGTCCACTCTCCCTTTTATTCTTCATTTCTCCAACCACCCGCTCTTATTTTTCTTCTGGCATTAAATCCTCTCCCCCCAAGGTCTTCATCTCCTCCTCCAAAGTCTTCATTCCTAATCTAAATGGATCAATTTTTCCATGCCTAACTTTTTTTTTTCCCACGCACCAATTTTTCCATGTCTCCACTTTCAACTTTTAACTTTCCTTCTTCTTCTTTATTCTATCTCTTTCCACCGTAATTGTTGACTCCCCCCCTTTTTTTAAAATCCTTAACTAACCTTTAGGATATTACATACAAGCTCAAGCCAAACAATCCTATGAAACAACATTTCAGAGAAATGGCCAACATGATCAGAGAACTTAAAGAAGCAGGCCATGTCCTGTCTGATGAACAGCAAGTGCAAGCTGTTATCAGATCGCTTCCTACTAGCTGGAAGCACATGAAAGTCAACCTGACCCATAATGAAAACATCGTTACTTTTACGATGTAGCCAAACACTTGGAGCTAGGATGAACGTTTAGAGGCTTACAAGACCTTTGGACAAGCTTATTACACTGAGAGTGTCGGTACTTCCCAATCAAGGCCTGATTCCAAGAAGGGCAAGAAGTTTTAAAGAAAAGGGAAGAAGGGTGGTTCTCAACCCAAAAAGGGAAAGAAGCAATTCAAGAAGAAGGGAAAGAAAGGTGGGAAAAAGAAGCTAGACCTGAAGAAGGTCAAATGCTTTGCCTGCCAGAGAATGGGCCATTTCGCACGTGACTGTTCAAAACAGGCTGAGAGTGAAAAGGTATTAGTGAATTATGTGAATTCACATGTTTCATATGTTTCTAGTACTGTTTTTCTAATAGAACCTGTTTCTTCTTCTTGGATTATAGACTCAGGCTCCACAAACCACGTAACTAGAGATCGAGGATCCTTTATCGAGTACCGTCGGTTGCCGTATCAAAGCAAGTGGCTTTATGTTGGGAACAACGCGAGGATCGAGGTTAAAGGTTTGGGCACCTGC